TTGATTCACTTAACTCTGTCCGACATTTAAAATGTCCACATGCCGGTCGGTTAGGATGGGCTGCATAAACAAACTGACTTCCAGGATGCCCTGATTTGCGAGCCCTTATCCGAAATTGGTAAAAGACACAAAAATACAATTGACAATTTTTGCGTTATATTTGCGTATCCAACTGGAAACTGACGTGTTTCACTTTGTCTGCCTGTGTGAACATACACACGTAGGCTCAGGTTAGACGAGGTTAATATTGGCCAAATGGTATCCGGCCTCTTTTAATTAAAGAGGAGAAAAAACTTTTTCCTGTTCTAATCTAATCGAGAAAATGTAAACTCTAGAGTCGATTAAATGTCGCCAAATTGTCTGGGAATCTGTCAAACTTTACACATATCCGTATGGGAATATGGTCTCCAAGGTTCTTTGGTACTGTCCGGATCATATAAATGCGGAGACGACAGATCGCTATTCGGTCATTCTCTTTAAACACCAAAATAGTTTCGTCAGGCCTATCTTTTCTCGTGGATCAAGTGCTATGACATGATATTATAGTATGATGTGATTTATGTTCTGATATGATATGATATAGCAAATCACATGATTTGTTCTATGACATTATATGATATATGTTACGACATGGCATTGTATGATTTATTAACACATGCAATGATATGATGCCTGGCGTAATCCAATTGTGTGATAACCACATCGGGATGGATCTGAGGCAAAACATATTCGACGCCTACATTTGTCGCGATGGTTAATCATAAACTAGGTTCAAAGGTGAGCACACGCGGGCAAATGAGGTCCCACCAAATTCACACCTCCAGTCGGCGTCCTCGCTTCTTTCCTTTCTAACGTCTCACCTGAGTGGCAATATATGCATTTTGCCGCTTGTAGCCGTCGATGTAGTTCGCGTTGATGTAATCAGAGCCCGGCGTGTCGGCGATGGACTGCAGGATGACACGCGAGTGATCGTAGGCGATCACGTTGGCGTAGCGATTCTTCTGCTTGTTGGCCTCTAGGTTCGAGTTCTCCCAGGTGTACTGCTGGCCGGGGTCTATGGACTCGTACTCTTGCGAGAAGAGCAGATTGTCCTCTGCAGTCAGCCGGGCCACATGATCCAGTAGACAGTTGATCAGAACTGGAGGCCGTGGATTGTTGCCTA